TTCCTATATATCAGTATCTTAAATATTGTTTTTAAAAAATTGTTTATAAATTTAATCATCAGCGAAATTTTGCAGCGATTACATAGAAGCATGGGCAAAATATTTTATAGTTCATCAAAATTTAATTAATTGTTGCTTCATTTTCTAATTGTCACTAAAAGAAAATTTCTCGCTGGTTTATACATGTTTCCGAAGCAAAATATCACGCAAGAAAAGGACATCTAATCCATACACGAATTTTAAAGCAGCGAGGTGAAAAAGCACACACGGGGAAAAATCAACGCTCTCAATAAATAATCCCCGCCGCAAGGGTGGTAAGTGTAGGATATCGCGCAAAAGGTATAGGGTAGTGTAGGCTTTTATCGGTCTCGGCTGGCGCATTACGCGCGGAGTAGGATTAGCGAAGATTTAAATTTGCGCGCCTAACAATTCCCTGCGAAACATCCCAATCTCTCTCTCTCTCTCTCTCTCTCTTTCACACGTACCACACATATACGCATGCTGTACGAAAACTCTCGCATGGGAATTCGGTATAATATCGCCGTAAAGTAAATCTGGATTGTTCCGCGGACGCTGCTGTTTGTTTTATTCGCGAGCCCGCGAGACATTTTACATTTTACGAGTCACTCACGGGAGAGGCCGAGCGAAAACTTATGTTATTTTATTATTAAAATTATGTCAAATACATACATGACACCGCTACAGTCATAAAAATAAAGTTTCCGGGTAGCTACGACTTTTGCGAGATGCTGCATGAATTTAGTGTGGGACTCGAATGCCAAAGTCGTTAACGTCGAAGTATATTTTAATTATAAACGCATAGAAACCTTATTTTGAAAACTTGGAAACAAGCGAACAATTTTTATGACTTTGGATTAGAAAACCATTGTTTCCCAGAACTCGTAAATAAGTGAAACGCGTATTGTAGGGAGGAACAAACCGAATTAAACTTGGTAGGTTGCCAAAGTATTACTCACAGTTTATGTATTAATAAAAATTGTATTTGGTACAGACTGAAATATCTGTTTAAAATTTGATAGCTATGATTGTTTAATTTCGAATTATATGAAATCTATTAAAAGAATTACCAATTAACCAATAAGACACTTTTTTTCTTGCAACTGATTTTTCACTTCTCATTGAATTCTTAAAGATTAAATTATTTGTTAACCTGTTGAATATCGGGACAAAACTAAGCAACTCAAAACAGAAATAAAGTAACTTTTAATTTTTCGAGTTCTCTCTTTTTCTCTATCGACTGTTATCGAGTGCAGCTATTTGAGTCCAACGAACCAAAACGCATTTCACCTGAGTCAGCTTTCTACTCCGTCAAAGGCCACGCTTTTATCATTCTCGAGCGTGAAAAATCGCAAAAGAATATCAAGAACAACATTGAACGACATAAACATTCCGCTGCTTTGTCTCTCTTGTGCCCGTGTACACAAAGTGCCGATTTCCGAGTAGTGGACCGTAAGCCGATTACATCTGTCATATTTTTATTTCGTCGATGACCCCCGTTTCATCTCTCTCTCTTTCTCTCTCTCTCTCTCCTCTCTCCCTTTTTTTCTCTCCTACATGGATGAATCTATACAATTTTCCGAATTCAATTTCGAAAATACAGAAAGCAAACTCCTGCGAAATATGCTGCCCATGAATACAACATCTCTTTGTCGCGAATTTTTTCCAGGCTCATATTTTACGGTTGGATGTCGGTTTTTGTGGCTCGAGTGCTATTTTGTATTTTAATAATAAAATGGATAAAGCGATACCATCGACACTTTAAAGGTATTTATTAACGAAAAATGTACTCGAACTATTGTTATATTTATGCTTTGATGATACTCAATATCTTTTTATACTTTTCAAAATAAACTTATATATATATATATATATATATATATATATATATATATAAATGGTTATATATATAATTTATATATATAAATGGTTTATTGAGATGATTTATTTCATAATTAACTAATTCCAATGTTTCGACATCACTATTAAATAACCTCTTCAAAGAAATAGTTTATAAAATGTTTGGTATTCTGTATTATTCATATATTGCTGTACTTTTAAAATATCTTCATTTTTTTAAAGTAAGATCAAATTGTATTTATAATATAACGAAATTAAACTGTCATTATATTTACAATTTACTGGTAATCAGAACATTTGCATAATATTAAAATATTCTTATTTTCAACTGATAGTACGTCAAAATTATAAAAAGTTATGTATAAATATCGTGCGGGTAGGATATCCGATATTTATAAATATCACGTACAGCTATGACATTTTTTAAATATTGAAAATATGAAAATAAATAAAAGATCACAACAATTAATCAATTCTTCAAAAAAGCTATAAATATCGAAAAAATGTAGATGGAATCCATATCATCGCTCCGTTTTGGCTGGCTTAATAATCTCACGACAAGAGTCCAATAGAAGCATTCAAAGCAGAAAAAAAGAAGGCTTTTCCAAAATTAAACAAGGTCGCGCTCTTATCCTGCTGGCAGACAAAAGCACGAAATCCTCTCTCTTACTCTTGAAGTTGCGATCCGATCCGTTTTCTCTCTCTCTCTCTCTCTCTCTCTCTCTCTCTCTCTCTCTCTCTCTCTTTCTCTCTCTCTTTCTCTCTCTCTCTCTCTCTCTCTCTCTCTCTCTTTCTCTCTCTCTTTCTCTCTCTCTCTCTCTCTCTCTCTCTCTCTCTCTCTCTCGTACCTCACTTTCCAATCCTCTCGACCTCGCTGGGAATATAAATTTCATAATCTTATAAACTCAGTGAAGATAAAACTCGAGTAATGTAGGAGACGAACAAAATGCAACGAGCGAAGCTTTTCGCTTTTCTAGGACGCGTGACGGGAAAAGGAAAATTTTACCTCGTAAACTTTATTAGTTTCGAAAACAATTTCTTTCAGCATATTGCTTCGTTTGTTTGTTCGAGAGATAAGATCGAAATATGCGACACCAAAGTTTACATTAACTTGATAATTATTTATAGAAAGAAATATTTGTTTTTCCGATCGAAACAATCTTAATGCATAAATTACAATGAAATCTTTGATTATTTAAACTTGTTATGTAGGTGTAGCAAATTGCAATTTCTTCGGACAGAAGAGGTTGATAAATTCGCAAATACGTAATTCCTTCTAAAACAATTGCCTCTCTGTTGGAATTCAACTACTCGAAAAACTTTGACCTGGCGCGAACGCAACATAGTAGAGAGAGAGAGTGAGAGAGAGAGACTCATTGCTAGGGACGAGACTACGTGAGTTCGACAACTCAATTAAGTCGCCCAAGCTAATTTCGATTGAAGGGGGTGAGCGTATGCAGGTTGGATCGTTCTTCCCTCATAGAAACTTCTCTAGCCAAACTCGAGCTCTTAACGGCTCATTAACATTATCGACGAAGTACTACGGTCACGACGCGATTCCAAGCTAAAGCTTGTCTCCCTCTCAGCTGTTGCTAAGAAAAGCAAATGGCTGTTGATTTTACAACTTACTCCGAGGTGGACTTCAAATGCGGAATTTTCGAATGAAAATTCATGTCGCTTAAGGTATATTGATTCTCTTCAAAGCAACCTTCGATATCTAATCGAAAAATAATATTTTACCTAATAATTGGTGCAATCAGAGCTTTTTATTATTCGCAAATACTCATTTTAAACATATACAAGATCCCATGTCTATTTCATACGTGCGCATACGTTTTCTAGCAAGTTCAGAATAAATATTCAGTAGTTCAAGTCTAAGTGTGGTCAGACAGAGAGCTAAAGTTCAATCAATTTGCTACTACTAGTATGGCTTATAACTATTTTGTAGTTAAATATCACTAAACAATTTCACTCTTGCCTTTCACTCAAAGCTATTATTTATAAACTACTCATCATAGTACTATCGTAAGTACAAAATACGAGAATTATACAAAATACAATTATAGAATTATAGAAAATACAAAATACGTATTGATCGCGTCTAATTAATGTCATGAACTTTGCGATGCTATAGATCACAGGATTACTTAGTAATACGAATCAAATAAGATTTAAATTAAAAAATATAATACATTTTTTAATAATAATAAATAATTGTACGAATTCACAGAACATGCAAATAGGAAAATAATAATTTAATTGCGACTTAAGCTTCTGTTAGAAGATAATTGGTAACGCATATATATTGTAAATTACTTTACAATAATCACAGTACACAAACCATTGATGTACTCGCTCACAGAAAATCAATCAATATCCAAAAAAAAAAGAACAGCCTTGCAGTTATTTGTCCGAGAGTCGTTTAACTGACTTGGTTGTGCGAGCGGAAACCAAAAAAAGTAGAAGAGAGGAACGTACGGCAGTACATGAGAAAAGCTTTTAGATCGAGGGAAAAACAAAGCATCAGCTGACGAACAGAAGAAAGGAGATCGCTGAAATAGAGAGTTAAAAAAAAGAGAACACGTCCGACGTAGTATTATTAATTGCTACGTAATGCGTTTCGCTGCTTCGACACTACGTGAAGGAAATGGAGACAGAACTCGAACGAGCAAGGGAAAAAAAATCCTCTCGTTTATCGGGTACGCGCTAGGAGCGGTGAGCGTAGAAAGAAAATCACAACAAGCAACGAAGCTTTTATATTAATAAATTCTGTACGCACGTCAAAAAATTTTTCACTCGCTGGATTTTAATGAAATAGATTGCTATCGATTATGTAATATTTCATATCGCCAGATTTTCGCGTTTAATAACTCGGTGATTAATTTGATTTATTTCACACTATTATTCCAAATCCAGCGGAAAAAATCATTTTTTTTACCATTGTACAGTATGTCGAGATATGCAATGTCTTTTTCAAATGGAGATCGATGAAAGTAAAATCGAAGTCGCTCTGTAAAAGCATAATTTAAAGGTGATTGATTGAAATGGGAGCATTTGTGAAACGGGCTTCCGAACTGTGCAATTAGTAAACATTATAAAAATGAAAGTCAGCGAAGACTCACTGTTCTCGAGTTGAGATGCTGCACACGGCAGTGAAGGAAGACCTGAGCGCCGAGCTGCACAGTCACGTTGTTGTCTGGATCTTCGAAGAATGGCCGTGGCTCGGGGGTCGCTCCAGTTTCCGTGACCGAGCTTTCTTCTTCATAGACCTTTAATAAACAACGAAAACTATCTATATATCTTTTACCATAGAAAACTCTAGCAAGGATAATTTTTGGGTAAGTAATATTTAAGTAGTCTCGTCAATACTTCTCGTAAAAATTTGATATAGATATTCGAACATACTTTAATTATTTCGCAAAGCTAATAATTTGTTTTCACGTATTAAAAATGAAAATATCGCTACAAAAGAATAGATATTTGTAAGGGACTACTACAGATGTAATTAAAAAGTTCATCTCCTGGTGGTGCTTCATAATTCCACTCTAATTATCCGAATGTCTCCTTACTATGCTTTTTTTATTACTTATTTTATTTACATCATTCAAACATTTGTAAGTTTAAAATTTTTACGGTTGAAAACTTGACGTTTTATAATCTAAAAATTGAATCCATCATTTACGGTCTTTTTCATTTCTCGTGAATTTATTGCAATTGGTATAGAACTGATATTTTCCGTCTCTCGTTAAATGATAAGCAATCGACTGTAAAAACAGCGTAAAAAAATACGAATTCGCATTACAATTTACTCTTTTATTACACAAAAGTTTCTCTTATATCAAACGCGATAAACTTCAGATAAAAGCGAAAATCAAAATATTATTAGCAATCTGAATGAAGACTACAATCTCTAAGCAAATATTTTGCGAAGGATTACACGTCAAATGAAGTCACGTATTTCCAGCGCTCTACGCTTAGTTTCTTCCAAGTCCTGGAACTTTTTAAAAAAATTTTCAACTCTATAATACGCAAGCTGCATGAAAATTTTATCAAACTAAAAAAATAAAACAAACAAAAGTTTGTCGTGATTGGATGCAAGCAGTGATAGTTGACGTGTGTGGGGGTGTGCGCGTCCGCGCGTGTGTGGAATTTGGCGAGTTGATTACAGAACGAGCGGCGCACTTTGAAAATAAATGGCCATCTTAAATCACTCACCTCGGTGAAAGGGGAGCTCAGCTCGTGCCAGAACGACCTCGGTAGATTTTCCATTCCGGGAAATGTCTTTCCACCTGCAATGCAAATGAGACATATATCGTTTTATATCTTTCGTATCATTGTTCGATCAGTTGTTATTTTTCTTTGATTATTCGATTGTCTAATGTTACTCTGTAAGAAATTGGCAGACGAATAGCTAAAACATATGCGGGATTGCCTCAGAGAATGGAGTAAGCTGAACGTAGTTCGATCATTAATTCGAACTGTGTTGTCAATACAAATGAGCGCTATTTCACCGGAGTATACGCTAATGAACGCGGTTGCGTTTGAAATTATATAAATTTGTTACAAGTTTCGCTTTGACCGTATTAAACTTATACCAATATATATAAAATTTTATATATACCAATTTCACACTCAATGATTATTCAGCGGCAGCTGTGAAAACGTAAATAAATGATCGTTGCAATAATTTCAATTAATAATTTTATGTGTAATTAACCATTCTTGTTTATTTAACATTTATGTAATATTAATTCCGTAAAATTTATTCGCAGTTAAATAAAATTTATAGCCACTTGTAAACAACCTTTTACATTATGAGTTAAAAATTTTCTAGAATACACACACGTATTGAAACGCAATTACTGAAATTACTCAAAAAAAAATTCAATAAAACACATAAACGCAGTAAATAACATCTAACTAAACTAAAAGTAATCTGGGATCTGGATTGTTTACGGACCTCTCTAAACTATTAATAATCCATCGATTTAACACTTGGAAATCATCCAACAAAAATCACTTTACTATTTGAAAATAGCAAGCCAGTGACAATGACACACTGTAAGGTGAGCTGTGAGCATAGTAGTGAGAGGGAGAGAAAGAGAGAGACGCCCTCAATCCGGAAAAGCAAACTTCACCACTTGCTCTTATCGCTTGGCGACACACTTCTCTAGACGCATACGCTCGAGACGAACGCCAATGGCGTGAGCGATAAGACCATGCGACGAGCTAGAAGCACGTTGACGTATATCTTTACATTACAATTTAACAAAAAAAATGTATTTGGTTTCAAGTTCAAGGGATTTTTATTTGTCCGTATAAATTGTGCCACAAAGTGTTTGTGCATACTGTTGTTATTGTCGGCTAGGTGTTCGGATATTGGTTTGACTTGGTTTATCTACGATAAAAAATTTAATTCACAGACTGTAAAACTCTTTCACTGAGTTTTTCTAAATGTATTATAAATGCTCTGCAAGCATCGCTATGATCAATATTAGCACTAGCTTTCGATAAATATTTGTTTGATGAAAAATTCGTATTTTCTTTACACAAAGAATTGAAAATAAAATCAACATGTACAAACATGAAAAAAACTCGAATTTTATCGTATGTGAACAATCGTAAAAATTAAAAAAAAAAATCTGTAGGTTTTGCGTTAACCTATACGAGTGCAGTGACGCGTAGGTTACGGGTTACATAGTTTATCTCGGGAAAAAAGAGTTTACCGAGAGATGACTCATTCGAGTCGCGCTTTTAACGCTGAGAAGAGCGCTGACGGGAGAAAGAGGCAGCAAAAGTGTATTTACATCTGGAGTGCGCACACCATGCTGCTCAGGTTCATGTCTCGCACCACTTTCCAGACGGATAACCGCGAGTTAAGCGGAAATTACACGGCACTTAGCACCGGCAGAGAGACTTTAACGAGGCCTAGCCGAATTAACGTATCAGTTGTTTTGCGCGTACTTTCTTCCACTAACCCGAAAATTCGGGCGGATAATCTCGACCTAAACTCCGATCTTGGGAATAGCAGACGAATGAAAATCATAGTGGGATTCATCTTGAAAAGTTACTGTTGAAACTTTCATGACGATTGATAGACACAAGCGCGAATTTGATAAGTACCATTTTTCTGTGGTACATTTAATTTCGAGTCGAATGAGTAAATAGAGAAACATGACTTTTTAGCTTGATATTTTGAATACTTGTGTTTGACACTTTTCCAAATGAGAAAATTTTATTACTTTCATAAAAATTTAATACAGTATGAACGAAATGCACTTTCTAAGCAATTCAATACTATGATGCAGTCATATAATATTTCACGGTAACCTGTTTTGGAAGTTACTAAGATTACTAAGGGATAAGCTTCGAATCCATTAGTGAACTGACTTCATGATATTTAATAGATTAGAAGCGGAGCAGATATTTTTTCTTTCTTCGCATGTTACTTATCTCATAAATTTTCATAAAACTTTTCTGTACTTTTATATGTGATATCAAAAGCTACTTTCACTAACAGTGGATACGATGAATAAAACCAGTTATTTTCAATCCACGAAGATAAAAAACCTTTTACTAACCTGAGGGGATTGTGGCTCTTGATAATCCAGTAAGGTGCATCAAAAAAAACGGCCAACACGGCCGTGTGTCTCTTCAACATCATATCACTTTGTCCAACTCATTTCCATTTGCAGAATTGTCCACTTTTTCCGGCAGTGTAATTCTGAAGATAAAATGCGATTCAAGTTAATTTATAGGTAAAGAAAGTCATCAGTGAAAATGTTTCATACTCCTAGTATAATAATAAATATTTTTAAAAGGATGTATGTTTCGGTCTAATTTTATTTATGTCACTGAATCAAGCACGTTGAATTTCTAGTTTTATGCAAAAGGCATAGATTATGAGCAACAAGAACCTAGATGGACTCATTCAGACTTACGTTTTTCAGTCATTTTCATGAAAATCCATTTAAGTTATGCGGTATAGTTCTTTTAAATAGTAAAATAAAAATTGAAATTAATTTTTGTATATTCAAAGTTGACATGATACCTAAGAAAATTGTTTTCCCAGACGTTCAATCAACTATTTTTAATTTCACAGTTATTCGATAATGGTTATTTTTTTATATATGAACACTACGTTAAACATCCTAAATTAAAAATCTAAAATTTTTAAAATATGTTTTTACACGTGTTTTAGAAAATGTTGATAAAAAATGCGAAAGTTGTATCTCATTTTTGGATGCTTAAGGACTATTTTGAAATTGACACATTAGAAGAACGGTAACAAATAGAACTTTTAGAAATAAGTTATACATGAAAAAAAACTAATAATCCAAATCGTTTCTTTTCATAATTCAGAATTTGCGATTTTGTTTTGAAATTATCATTAACATGTTCAGACTGCATAAAAGTATTTAATTTTTTATAACTGAAATATTCTGATATGAAATCTACTTAAAAGTAAGCGAATGCGCTTGATCAAAAGCACGCGAGATATATTATTTATTAATAGTTGATGGATTGCAAAAGGAGAGATCTGGTGGATGGAGTCACGAATGGAAATCACCTTGAAGCGCGCAGACTAGGAAATCAGAGTACAAAGGCTTATCGAACTGTTTGACGAGGAGGGAGAAAACGATGATGACGTCCTACTAATGATTCAAAGCTCTGGCTCTACCTGTGCATGTGAGACAAATCTATATCAGTTGCCTAAATGTAAAGGGCCAGAATTGACTTTGCACAGGTTCTCCGTCCGATATAGCTAGATAAACTAACTGTCTACAAGCAGCTTTGTGCGTCAGCCGACCTGCGGTTCTACGTGGCTTCATCGAATGTCCTTTGACAACGAGATGCCCATCACTCACTTTGTACCAGCGCGTCCGTTCTCCTCTAATAAATACCATGTTTGACAATGTAAAACTCATTTTTCTAATGTCATTCTTATGTCGAGCGACAATGCGTTAAATTACTTAGAAAATAAAATTAGTAAAAAACCGATCTTTCAAACATCACATATTGTTGCAAAGTGGAATGCCATTTTTGGCTGTTGTTCAGTTATAAAATAACTTCATCAAGATATCCAAGAGCTATTACTCATTTGTAACTTTTAAAAATTTTACGTGAAATTTGTTTATTTTAAAGAAGACAAAAATTTAGCGCCTCGCGCATTCCATGAGCGCGAGCGTTGGTTAAATATCGTAAGAAACTACGCCTAGAAATGGACGTTCAGCAGATAAATCAATCAAGAAGTACCAATCCAAACATACTATCCTTTCAAGTAAGACTCCAGTGTGATTAAATTTGACTGCAAAGTTTGTTCTCGAGAAAATGCCATTATACCCAAGAACTCTTTGCTCTAAATTTTTAAGTGAATTTCACATGAGTTTTTTCCCTTCCTTTTTTGTTAGTAAATATGAGAAAACTTGCGACAACTGTTGAACTGCCATTGTTGAATGATAGAATAACCTTATTTCTTTTCATTTTTAATTCGTGCTATCTTCGTATCTCATTAAAATTTCAATGATTATTTTTGCTTATAAGGAAATATGTTCCAATTATCTAAATTTGATGGTAGATACGCGTGTTTTGCATCATAAACTATGAACTAGGGATAATATGTATACTTTCCAAACAACGTCATCATTCAGTAATGACAAATAGATGTGTTTTGATACTAAAGCCTATTTCTTTTTTATGGCCAAAACGTTTATTTATCAAAACGTTTATCTTAATTTCCAAAACTATTCCTGTACAATAAGATATCCCATATTAAATTAACTCAAAGTCTTTTATTTTCGCATAATCTTTCAACTCAATAAATTACTGAAAGTTTATCGGCAAGTTTTCCTTTCACAATAGATCCATTCAAATCGGAACAAACGAAAATAGATCCAATAGAACTTTGCAATTCTGCTCTCTAAAAGCAAGAACAGCAGCAAAGAATCCGAAGCAAATAGAAAAAGAACTAACGCAACTGTAAGGCAGCAGGACAAAAGTACGCGAACATACATACACACGCACACATGCACAGGAATACGATAGCGAAAAGGGCAAGTGCTTGTAAGCGTATTTCCGGACGTCGATCCAATCGCATCCAATTACCAGACAAATCCGCTTTGGTGACGTAACGGCTACCTTGCTGACGTTAAGCTCGTGACAGGTATAGATTGACAGGTCTAGATAAAAATAAAAAAAATGTGTGTTGCGCATACAAGAGAGAAGCTCGTTGCTGCGAAAGATCGTTTTAGAGAGCGGGAGGGGGGGGGGGGGGGGATCCTAACAGACAGCTCTGACCTTAATTTTTCCGCAGCTACCGGGGAGTTAATCCTGCAAGCGTTAAATGTTTCGACGCGGAGGTGCGATTTGATGAAGGTGTGAAATTGAAAAATCGTTTATTGAATTTCTTTTCTTTCTCACAAGAGAAAAGGTCTGTTGCGTGGAAATGTTTGGATCTGCCGTACTCGGTCGCGTAGATTATTGAGCGTAAATAGCAGAGGTTCCGAAGATTTTGTCGATGAGAAAGTGACTTTCACACGTTTTCAAGGATCTAATATTAATACACGATCACGTCACGTCGTCTCTTTGGGTTTCCTTTGAGATGGCTTCGCTATGAGTAAAGTTCTCGTAGCAAGTACCCGCGCCGTAATTAGCATTTGCCGAGTGCAGTATACGTCAAAGCATCACGCGTTTGTAACCGACATCCACCAATCCACTGAATCAAAGTTGATGTTCCCAACTTTCGGCGCCCATGAATGAAGAAAGAGAAAACGAAAAGAAGTATACATGGTTGCGGAAAAAAGTTATTCAATCGTCTTACCCCAACTAAACTGAGAATGGAAGCGCGCGTAGGCAAGGAAAGTCTCCCCTCGCTTGGAAAGTGAGGTTTCGCGCGCAACGAAATAACAAGAAAAAAAAAGAGCAAGCGAGAACGTCTAATGCAGCTCGACGACGACGAGACAAGGTTGAAGTTTTTTCAGTTTGACAATTGAATTGCGCGCGTTCGCACACCATCAAAACTTTAAATAAAAATGCATCCACTCGGCAAGAGAGAGAGAGAGAGAGAGAGAGAGAGAGAGAGAGAGAGAGAGAGAGAGAGAGAGAGAGAGAGAGAGAGAGAGAGAGAGAGAGAGCAGAGGAAAAGAAAGCCTAGCCAGCCAGAGAGCCAGGTAAACGTCGCATCAGGACGATCCACTTATCGCCAGGGTGAGAATCGAGCTCGCGAATTCCAACAATAGCACGGAATGAAGTTGACGCGCCCGATTAAACTACCGGCAGAAAGCGCCACTCACGTTTGCACTGTCTTCGTAATCAAATGTCTATCTTGAATCGTATTCTACAATTTGTCCTTTCTCAAGACTTTTTTTTCTCTCTTGGCCGAAACCGTTAAGTGGATTTCTAAAATGACGTTTGCTTCTGACGCATTTAAAGAATGATGCAAGGGAATTTGTCGCTCGTGGGTTGGTTGAGAAAAATTTCAAGGAAATAAAAATTTACGTTTTCGTAAGTGTGAAATTGTGTTTTAGGAAACAAAATGAGTTTCCGCACGTCTCATCCATGTATAATTCATCACTTCGGCATTGATAATATTATAGCAATTTGCTCCACTCAAAAGCCTCTGGAAAATTAATTAGCTGGAAGTCAATACGAAATTAGCAAAGTTATAACCAAGTGAAAATCGACTACAGTGTGTGGCGCTAATACCATAAGAGAAGCTAACTTTTCAACAATTACCAGAAAGGGAGGCGACCATTTAATTGTACGAAGAGCTAGGCCAGCTTGCGTGGAAACTTATTCGGATACTAGGGTTGGGTATAAAGGTCAGCCGGCAACAAAAGACGAAGATCGAATCGGGAACACGAAAAGTCGATTCGAGGAGAAAGAGAAGCTTAAAGAGAGTCGAGTCAGCTTTGTCTCGCTCTCTTTCGGAAATAAACAACGACAGAAGTCCTTTCATGTACTAGAACAATGGAGTCTTAGATGCTCGTTAATCCTTGCGTGACATTTTTTTTTCTTTCCCTCTCTGAAGCAATCTTTGAGACGAATGTGAACCTGTAATCGATTAAACGAAATCTTTAGTGACACTTTTCGAATACCAAAAAAAGCGCATAAGTAACTCTTGAAAAAAAAACATTCTTCGCTGATTTTAACATCATATTTTGAGTGGAGCTCAAACCATGATGTTAAAATTCAGATGGATATATCGTGAACACTTCTCAACTCCATTTTGAAACCTTATAACGTGCTGATCTCTTGTAATCCATATGTGCATTAGTAAGTTATGTTCACGTAATGTAGTATGTTAAGAGAATTTGCATGAATTTCCACTCGAAAATCTAAATTGAACTGAATTTCGTTTAAATTATTGCTAAAATTAAAAAAATCACTTAATAAATTATTTTTTTATAACTGATATGGAAGTAAAGCATCGTTCAAAAACCAATTTCGCTTCATCAATAGTCAAATTTCTGTCTTCCTTCCTATACTTCTCTATCCCGAAATCCCAGCCAATAGCAAGTCATGGGAATTAACTTTGGCATTCTACACCTGAACGATACCACAAAACAAGCGATCCATCGTTGTACAATTGAACAAACGATTAATCCTTCCGGATTGCTGAGACGGGAGAACATTCGAATGAATATTCAGCCTCGCGGCTAAATA